TTGGTCTATATTAGGGAGATGAAGGCAGGTAACTCAGAGGAAACATGATAGAGTAATAAATGTCAATTATGAGGTATTTTCAAGTGAATCTCTTAGACTTACATAAATTAAAATGAACCGAATTGAAGCGCAGTATGGAAATACGGCTATAAAGGCACACAGTGAAGGACATGCGGATATTCGGTCCTTAAGTGATGATATTGAAGTGTTTAGTCTTTTCTAAATTAATGTCCAATATACAGAATATAAATATAATGATTACTACTGCAATAATTAGTAATTTATTACTGACACATTTTAAAATAATTATTAATACTACTAATTGAATTATGGTATTTCCTAGAAGCACTCACAATAGACAAGCACCATATTGTGCTATTCTGATCATGGAATTGTAAAATTCCCTCTTCTGCAGATATTTCTGATCTTCGTACAACTTAATTCTTTTAAAAATGCAAGACACGAAAGTTGGCAATATTAGGTATCAGAGGCATTGAATCAAACTGCCCGTTCAGTATGATTTCACAGAATCACAGAATCATTTAGGTTGGAAAAGATCTTTAAGATCATCAAGTCCAACTTTAGACTAAGTGCCACATCCAGTCATTTCTCGAACACCTCCAAGGATCGTGACTCCAACACCCCACTGAACAGTCCATTCCAATGCTTAACAACACTTTCCACAAAAAAATAGTTCCTGATGTCCAACCTGAATCTCCCCTGCTTGAGGTTATGTCCTCTCATCCTGTCAGTAGTTGCCTGGGAGAAGAGACCAATCCCCACCTCAGTGCAACCTCCACTCAGACGGTTGTAGAGAACAATAAGGTGTCCCCTGAGCCTCCTTTTTTCCAGGCTAAACAACCCCTGCTCCCTCACCTGCTCCTCACAAGACATATGCTCCAGACCCTTCACCAGCTCTGTTGCCCTTCTCTGGACATGCTTCAGCACTTTGATATCCTTGTAGTGAAGGGACCAGAGCTGGACACAGCACTCAAGGTGCAGCCTCACCAGTGCCAAACACAGAGGGGCAGTCACTGTCCTGGTCCTGCTGGCCAAACTATTGCTGATACAGCCCAAGATGCCATTTGCCTTCTTGGCCAGTTGGGCACACTGTTAGATCATGTTCAGCCAGCTGTCAACAAGCACCCCTAAGTCATTTTCTACTGGGCTGCTTTCCAGTCAGATTTATCATATTTTACAAAACATCCAGGAGAAAATTGTGTAATTATATAAAACTGTATTTTAAAGATTGTACAGGCATTATAATGAAATGAAAGACATTTGGCGCTTTCTGGTAAAGTGTCTGACTTTTTTTCACTCTTAAACTTGTTTGTGCTTCTGAGACCTAAGTGGAGATTGACTCACAAATGTGAGTTATAAATTACATCTGAGATTAATATTATTTCACTTCGTGTCATTATTTCGCTTCCTCTGCCTCTCCTGTTTTTCTCTCGATTCTGTGTTCTCTTGTGCCCCTTCATGATACTATAAACTGAATGCCTTTTTCCTTTACTTTAACAGAATCACAGAATATGCCAAGTTGGAAGGGAACCACAAGGATCATTGAGCCCAACTCCTGGCCTTGCACAGGACCATCCCTAAGAGTCACACCATATGCCTGAGAGCATTGTTCAAATGTTTCTTGAACTCTGTCAGGTTTGGTGCTGTGACCACTTCCCTGGGGAGCCTGTTCCAGCACCCAACCACACTCTGGGTGAAGAATCTTTTTCTAACATCCAGCCTAAACTTGCCCTGACACAACGTCAGGCCATTCCCTTGGGTCCTGTCACTGGTCACCACACAGAAGAGGTCAGTGCCTGCCCCTCCTCTTCCCCTCACGAGGAAGTTGAAGACTGCAATGAGGTCTCCCCTCAGTCTCCTCCAGGCTGAATGGAAGACCAAGTGCCCTCAGCTGCTCATCATACAGCTTCCCCTCAAGGCCCTTCACCATCTTCCTTGCCCTCCTTTGGACACTCTCTAAGAACTTAGTGTCTTTCTTATATTGCAGTGACCAAAACTGCACACAATATTCAAGGTGAGGCCTCACCAGTGCAGAGCAGAGTGGGACAATCCCCTCCCTCGACTGGCTGGCGATGCTTTGCCTGATGCCCCCCAGGACATAGTTGGCCCTCCTGGCTGCCAGGGCACTGCTAACTCATATTCAACTTGCTGTTGACTACCAGGTTCCTTTCCATGGCACTGCTTTCCAATATCTCATTCCCCAGTCTGTATGAACACCCAGGGTTGCCCCATCCCAGGTGTAGAATCCATCATTTTCCCTTGTTGAACTTCATATGGCTGGTGATTGCCCAGTCCTCTAATTTGTCGAAGTGTCTCTGCAGGGCGAGTCAACAGCTTCTCCTAGTTTTGTGTAAACTGTGAACTTGCTTAGTCCAGCATCTTAGTAACTTATGAAGATGTTGAAGAGCACAGGGCCTAAGATGAAGTCCTGTGGAACCCCACTAGTAACAGGTTACCAGTCTGACACTGTTTGCAAAAATCCTGCTATATGTGGCTGGCAAATAGTCTTTCTTTTCCTTTGGTTCTGCTGTGAAATGCTTTACCATTAGAATTTTACTACCTTCTTCCTTGTTGCTGTTGCTTTACTTATCTATCCAGCGTTACTGTACAAGTTATTACAAATATATTTTTTTGCTTTTTGCTGCTACATACAAACAAATGCAACTTGCATCACTCTGCCAGATAATGCTGTACATTTTCCCATCAGAATTAACTCAGTTTTATGTTCTCTATCCTTACCCAGGATAGAACATAGGTTTTCATTTGCCTGTGCAGTGTTGGAATAAGAAACATGTTTCCTTGGAAACTTAAATGTCTGAAGCAATCATTTACACATAAAATATCTTCACCAGAAGCACACATTTTTGCAGTTCAAGTTGAGAACAAAATAAAAATATCTTCTTGTTTGTTTGCAAATATTTATATTTAAAGCACTATAAGAGAACCCTTGCATTTGATTTCAGAGACCAAAGATCTAATCGTTCCCATAATAAATCTGGATTGTGAAATAATTTCACTTTTAGACTAATTGTATTCACCAGAATAACTGTTTAGAACACTTCAGAAATCCGCTGAAATGTTTACCTCTAATTGCTATGCAAAACACTTCTGTCCTTTCCTCTGGGTAGGGCAAAACAACTCATTTTAGCATAGACTGTCTTCGCCAGTCAAGAATGTTTGTATTGTTTTAATCATTCTGCTCACAACTCAGACTTTCTCTTCAAAACTATTCATAAAAATTTCCTCAAACTGTTATTTTTTACTGACAGATGCCCATTCAATATTCTCTCCTCTCTCCTCTCCTGCCTTTCCCCTCCCCTTTCTCTGCTCTCTGCCCCTGTTTCTAAACCAAATGCCTTGCTCCCAATCCCAGGTCTTGGGAAATGGAAAAATGCGTAGAATCTATGTGTGCATAGATTCACATTTGAGGTTGCATATCCACACAGTTTAGCAATGTGTCATTAGGACCCTTTGGTTGTACTACTAATGAAACTGCAGATCCCAGGCTTTGCAGTTTTCAGCCTGCTCTCTTAACGATGATTTCTAAAATATTTGACCAAATGAGAGCAATGGTATGCACCACTCAGTATGCTGAGAGTTTTGACCAAGACCATAGTTACTGATTTGATTGGATAGTTTAGCTTGAATTTGTCCACATTTTAAACAGGCAACTGTATCTTTGATTGTGTTTTTACACTGTGTTTTCAGTCTATTTTTTAACTGAAAACTATAATATTAATAATTAATAGTACTTGTGTACACAACAATATTCGGGATTTTTTGGGCACTTTGGTGTGTTTACAGAGGCATTGTTCAGAAAGGAAAACAATGGGTGAGAGAACATGACTTGCCAAAAGGTCATACAGCAAACATTGACAAAATTGACTTCCAGAATGAAATCTTGGCTTCTGTGGAATCAAAGGCAAAACTCACAGAGAAAACAATGGGCTCTCATCCCAGACTCCTGTCCTGTCTAGATGCTGCTGAGGGAGACTGAAGATAAAATGTGTTACTAGAATGCAGTCGAGGTATTTTAGGACTTCACACTTTTATTCGCAGCTGAACACTTTCAGAGTATGATATGCTGCTGTACCCTGCTATTGCATTGGCTCTCATGTGGTGGTGCTCATGTTTGAAAATGCAGCAGGGTTAGAAATATGTCCTTTTTTCCTCCTTTGCAGAGCTGAGGAATGAATTGGATATGTAAACAAATGTTCATCATCATAGTCAGACTTGTGTAATACCAGAAAGATTATCCTTCTATAATTAAAGTGGCATAAAAGTTACTGGGACTAGATGTGTCTGTGGATACCGCTTTATTCTCATCATGTCACGCAGAATGTTAGTGGTAATGATAGAATTATGTAAGGAAATGAATCATGAAAAGTGAGAAGAAGATTCTGAAACATTTAGTGCTAAATTTAAGGATTCAGAAAGATACTCCACACATAATTCCACACAGAATGCTGGGACCAAATGTTTTCAGTCTATTCAACCTAACTATTTTCTTTAACACTGACAAGTATTATTACACTTCTTGTGCTTCGTGCTTCAATTTATTTCTAGTCAAACTTACATGTCAGTAAATTTATTTCTGACGTCAGTCTGGCTCTTACCATCCTCTTTTTATTAGATGTTTATCTCACACTTCTATCAAACATCTCTGTCACTGAATTCAAATATACTTATTAAAGGTAATGCCTGCACTTCCAAAACAGGTGCAATCACCACCTTTTCAATTTCACAAAATTTAAACATTTTTTAAACTTTAGATAACATATGTATCATTTTCCCCTTTGGAACTCTTTTTTTCAGAGTGCTAATCTTATGCAGAAAGGTTCAAATATGTGAGTAATAAATTCATAGAAACCTTCCAGAATACTGCAAAATAATGGTGTAGCTAAGTAAAACAGAACAGGCTAAGTGATGATCATGTTTTTCGAATGATGAGTTTAATAAGTGGGGAAGTAAAAGGTTACCTGAATGGCGTTTGTTACATTCCATCCTGCTTCCCAGCTGGTGATCAGTTTGACCTGGGCATGTGGCAAGGGAGTTGGGAACATGTATTCTGGATCCTGGTGACAAACATCAAGCTCAAAGTTCAGGGGTCCATCTGGTTCCTCACTGTGAGCTCTGTTCAGTTCATCTCTTCTAGCAAAATTCACACGTTCTTCATCAGTGTCTAGGCAGCTGTCCAACCTTGTAAGTCCCAAAAAGAGAGACGGTGTTTCCCTTAAGCAGTTGAAAAGAGATGAAAAAGTCTGCTTCAGGTGAGCCATCCTCAATACCAAACTTAAAAGTAAAATTTTTTATTACATGTCTTTATGTTTTTTCAGCAGTTGTACCTTGTTACTCCTTTTGTTAGGTTAGTCTTGATAATGTAGCTATGATAAATGGAGTTTGTTGTCCATAGTTCATTTATTTGTGCTTGTTTCAAATGGCAGCTAAAGAAATATCTCCACAATCTTTAACATACTGCCCAGAGTAGTATGCAGCTAGATTTAGTAGTCTGCAACCTGCAATTTACAATTCAAATAATTTTTCCTTTTACCTATGGCTTCTACGTAGATCAGTCATTCATGAAGCATCTACAGGTGGCTGCAAGAATATTTTCCTGTGCATTATGCATGTTTCTAATACAAATAAATAGCTCTGCCAAAAGGAAAAAATGCATCATTAAAAACTAGAGTTGATAGACTGACTGCTAAGCAAATGCATGTAAACAAGTTCACTTTTCCAGATGTGATGATTTTCTGCTGTGTTTTAGTGTCTACAGAGGTCAGTAGAACTTAAAAAATGTTCTTAAAAGAGCTTAAAGCAGCAAGATAAAGAAAAGTAACTTGTTTGTAACTATATGTAATTCATAGTTACTAGTAACAGTTAGGAGAAAGACACAGAGTTTTGATTATATGTTTACTGTATGGATGTGAATGGTATATTATTATTAGTCACACTGTAAAATCCTAAAAATAATGTTTACAAAAGTATCCTCTTACTTCCTGGCATGGCCCATGGAATTTGTGAAGGAAAGGTCAAGAGAGAGAGAGCATTGGGTTGCATAGGTATAGGATTATTTATGCCCATTTTCTTTTGTTATTTCCAGTACCTGCCCTACGTTCCTCTTCTCTCTTTGTTTCTGAAGAGTACTGGGTTTTAACAGCTATATTTCTACATTAACAACTGAATAACTGGTACAACACTGCTGAAAAAAAGTGTTTGCTTACAAAAGGTCTGCATGTAGACCTTGTAGCATGTGACAGCAGTTACAGTCCTTGCTTGCCCTAGCATGTCCTACCTGCTAGAAGAAATTTCGGGAATTCTTGAAACAAACTCAAAATTTTCTATTTCTGAACAAAAATTCTAAATCACTGACTTTTCGACTATATATATATGTATATATATAGATATGTGTATATATATGTATATATATATTTATATATATCTCAACTGCAGTCTCACTAGTAACTCTCAGGACTTGCCCACTTCCGAAATGAACTATTATTCATGCCAACCTTGTTGTCTGCTTTTTCTTATGAGGTCAGGATTAAATAGATATGGAGACAACCTTCACTGTTCTGTCATTTACAATCAGATACTGAAATTTCTCTTGTTCTCATTGCAAAACTGATATTCTAAAGCTCTCTACAGTTTACTGATTTGTTCTAAAACCAGAAATATTTCAGAAACACTTCTAGTATGGAATTATGTTCCTGTGACTACCTTGTTCAAGTCTCATCACTGACTCTTGTATATGCCATATCCACAGGTTTATCGCTGAGTGCTCTAGAATATTTCCTTTACACATAATGAAATCTGCTGATGTTGACCTGAACTAAGTGTCTTTCTTGTCAAAATATACATTTATTGCTATTTTTGACGACCAAAGTGAATATTTCCAGCCATCCCACAAAATATCATGATCTTCTGGATTGACTTGGAAGGTGCTTGAAAGTACAACAGTGTCTATTTACAGCAAATTTTGACCTTAGTTTAGTTCTCCTTTCATGGAAGCCATTCCAGTGAGAAGCTTCAGAAAGATTTCTGAGGGGAATGCTCTATGATAGGTTTAGATAGTACCCAAATTAAGTATACCTGGTAACTATCTATAAAGTGAAAAAAAAAGTTAGAAAATGTTAATTTTCCTAATACATACAGAATTTTCTGAGATACACAAATGGAACCATGGGAAATGGTAAACATTAGTATGTAATATCAGTCTGTTCTGAAGTAGATATTTACATTTCTGGAAACAACTATTCTGTTGTTATTTGCTTTATCTAATGTAAAAGTGTAATGTCATGGGACAAATATTTAGCATTTTAAAAACCATTTTTATTAATTAAATACAGATAAGAGCCATTTTAACAACCTGAGGAACTGAATTACATCAAATGCAAATGTTGTTTGTTTACAAATTATGTATTACATAAGAAATTGCTCTATCTGGTGTTGTAGAGTATTTTCTGTTTAAAAGAATTTATTGAGACATCAATCAGCGCTGCTGCTAGGGGATTTTATTTGTTTGTTTTTCTTTTTTTCATTTTTATTCTTGATTCTATATAAGTTTTTTTTTCCTTGTAAATTGGTTAGGATTTCATACAGCTATCTTAATCAAGGGATATGTAAGGAAGTTTAGGAAAAGAGAGGTATCTCTGAGCATAGAACCATTCCATTTGACTATACAGGGTTAGGGAGGAATTGTCCAGTTTTATCCAAGGCCCTCTGACAGCACTGGAAAGGATTCTATTTTCAAATCTCTTGTCTGTCAGATACATCACATGTGGAAGTCAGAAAAAATAGTGAAAATTGTTCTTTCGCAGTTATGCAGGACTTCAAAAATAATGTAAAATCTATTTTAAAAATTAGTTTTTAGTTGGTCAAATTCAGGACTTCTCTACTGACTACCAAATACAAAGGTATGTAGGTCTGTAAGTTTACAAAAATATATGAATTTTAGTAAAATATGTATGTTAGATCTCCCAAACTTAGTATACTTTTTGGACTATTTGTTTCAATGAAATTCATTATTCAGCTCTGACATACAGCATAGCACAGGACAATGCAGGTTATCATTGTATGATATTTATTATTATTTACGTATAATGCTGCTTAGAGATTAAGTGTCTTAAAATCAAATAGTAGGAGACAGCTTTTTTTATGAAAGATACAACAAGTGAAGACAGACAGAGATGTGGCAGTCGGGGAGTATATACTTCTTTGTCTGCTGGGCATGGATTTTTCAGTCTATATATTCCCTGTAGCTTTGATTTTTGCAGTCAGTAGGGCAAATTATGCTCCTAGTTACATCACTGTGTATCTACTGGCTCTTTCATTGACATAAATAATGAACAAAGGAAGATATATCAAATCTGGTTTTATTACTGCATTAAAAACTGCTGTCTAGATGACAGCAGCAAATTTCTTATTTATCATGCTACTTCCAGGCCATCAGAAATAATCAGTAAAGACAACAAATGAGAACTGGACTCAGTCAAAGGCTAGTCCAGTTCTTCACTTTTCCCATGCACTTCTTCTGCCAGACATTATTTCTGCAGATGTTCTTTATCCACCCAAATCAATATTGTAAGTTCAATTAAATGTTATGTCTTGTCTTAGGAAAAACTTCCTGATTTATGATAGATTCGTAAGTATGGTTATCATCGTCCTTGGCACCTATTCACCTACTTCTACTTCAGTACCTAAACTGAGATTCAAATTTCTTGGAAAGCAGCAGACTGTCACTGTGATTCATAAGCTTGAGAGAGTGGAATTCCAGGAACAGGAAGAGTGCATGGATAGGCTTGGAAAAGACATCTTTCTTGGTCAGTAGAATTTGTAGTGAAGCTGCTTATGCCCAAGGAAATAAGGTCTTCAGAGCTGCCACTTGCATTGGCCATCTTTTTTTTCAAAATTTGTTTGACTGTAGGACCCTTCAGTTATACACATCGAGAAGACTGTTTCAGAATGGCAGTAAAAAGTAGGTCAACAAAATAGTTTATCAGCTCTGCATACTTTTATCTGACTTAGCAATGCATTGATCCATTGATATAATGGTGAATCTTATCTCTTCTTTATAATCTCACTTTTGCTGTGGGACATGGGTTTGGCTCAAGTCTTGAGGTAGTAGTATGGCAGACCCTTTCACAAGGGAGATCTCTCTCCTCAAAAAAGGTATCTTAAATAGTCACCACTCAGTCATGAGGCTAGCTGGGGTGAATACACACACTTCTAGATATGTAAAACATTTTCTCTAGAATAAATGTCTGCTTAGAGGATGTGCACTGTTATTACTTCCCATAATGGAATCAGTTTACAACTAAAGGGTTTTTTCGGTCTTTCCATGTTAAGGCACTAAGACCATGTATAAAACTGGATCCAAGGGCAGGAAAATCTCACTTAGGCAAAGCTAGATCTGTGGTGTATTCCCACAGAACTCTGAAGCTGTATGATGGAGCAACCAGTAATGCAGATGCACTCCTGAGTACCCACGTTATACAGTTTAGGCACATCCCAGCTATCCCAGCACAAGCTCAATAGGGCCTTTTTTGGTAGAGAAACTCTTTATTGGTATTAGTCTAGCTTTTGGTACTGCCTGAACGACTTTAAACTAAAATAGAAATGACAGGGCAAAATGGAAAAAAAACCTGAAACAAAACAGTGTTCAGTTTGGTAAGCATATCCAGAAAAAATATCACAGATTATCCATCCACCCTTTGCTTTTTGTAGGTTAAGATGAGGAATTTTTTTTTTGTAGTGAAATGAGGTCTTAACTTTTGGTACTATGGATCCCTAACATAAATATTTGCAGTATTTTTTCACACTTTCAACTGATGCTTCTTATGAATGCTCAGGTTTCTTAGCAAAATTAATCTTCTCCAAAAGTTTCTGCCAATTATAAATTTGGAAAGCAGACACAGACAAGGCTTAGCGCATGAGGAAAGATAACATTAGTAGTTAATTGTATGTGTTTAGACAGGTTTCTTTGTGTTCACTTACAATTATTTGTATGCTTTTGTACAGTTTTTTTGTATTGTTGCCTGCTCTATGTGTATTACTCTGACAACTCTTTAAATAGTTATTCAAAATTATGTTCAAGTATGCAAATATATATAAGTATGTGACTGTAAATGCCTGTGGAACTTTAGAAGTACATGAAAGATAATGTCCCTCCCCTAAGAAAATAAACTCTAATCCAAACAGAAAAGTATTATTGTGATGCTGATATAAAACAAAAAGGAAAGAATGGAATGGTTAACACTGAACAGATGAGCACTGGAAA